AATAGAAAGAATGAATGTGTCCTACTATTTGATAGCACAACATGGCGACTATAGTCAATAATAACTTAATTGTACATTCTAAAGTAACTTAAAGAGTATAATTGGATTGCTTGTAACTCAAAGGATCAATGCTTGAGGGGATGGATACCCAATTTACCCTGATGTGCTTATTTCACATTCCATGCCTATATCAAAACATCTCAGGTACTCCACAAATACACCTACTATGTACCCACAAAAATTAAAAGTTAAAATGATTGGGCACAGTGGCTCACACTTATAATTCCAGTGCTTTGGGAGGCCGAGGTGGGCAGATAACTTTAGCTCAGGTGTTCAAGACCAGCCTGGGCAACATGGTGAAGCCCTATCTCTACAAGAAATATAAAACCTGGGTGTGGTCAAGCACTCCTGTAGTTCCAGCTACTAGGGAGACTAGGGTGGGAGGATAGCTGGAGCCCAGGAGGTTGAGGCTGCAGTGAGCCATGATCCCACCACTGCACTCCCTCCAGCCTAGGCGAAAGAGTGAGATCCTGTCACAAAAAAAAAAAAGAATACCCACTCCACAGAGTTGTTGATAATTATATAAGAAATTCTGTAATACACAGATAGAAGGTGCTTAATAAATGTTAGCTCACTTCCTCCCCACCTCTCCTTTTCTGCATCCCTGTCCTATTACTTTAGAAATAAAATTTAACACTTTAGAATATCTTTAAAATATGATTATTTTAGTTCACTTTAAAGATTTTTGTATTGAGGTATACAATCAAGTATGTAAAGTATACAAATGACAATTTTGTATATGTGTATACACCCATGTAATCACTCAGAGCCAAATATAGAACATTTATTTATAGCATCCTCCCAGAGATTCCTGCACGCCACATCCCACCAATACCTCTCCAAAGGTAACCATTATTCTGCCTTCATTATTATTACTGAAATATTTTTAAATTGTCAAAAATAAATGACAGTATATCTATACCAAGGAATAAAAAAAGTAGTAGTTAAAGGAAGAGCTATACATGCAAACATGGAAATATCCCAAGATATATTGTTCTGTATTACTAAGGTAATTGAAAATTAATAACAGAAAATGTTAATGGAAAGGATGGTAGATGGAAAGGAGAACAGAAATATGATGGGTAAAGCTCTTTTAGTCTTTTTGAAATCTTCATTGAGGCTGGGCGCGGTGGCTCACACCTGTAATCCCAGCACTTTGGGAGGCCAAGGATGGTGGATCACTTGAGGTCAGAAGCTCAAGACCAGCCTGGCCAACAGGGTAAAATCTTGTCTCTACTGAAAAAAAAGAAAATACAAAAAAAAAATTAGCTGGGTGTGGTGGTGCATGCCTGTAGTCCCAGCTACTTGGGAGGCTGGGGCGGAAGAATTGTTTGAACCCAGGAGGCAGAGGTTGAGTGAGCCAAGATCACACCACTGCACTCCAGCCTGGGGGACAGAGTAAGACTCTGTCTCAGCCAGGCGGGATGGCTCACACCTGTATTCTCAGCACTTTGGAAGGCTGAGGCAGGTGGATCACAAGGTACAAGGTCAGGAGTTCGAGACCAGCCTGACCAACATAGTGAAACCCCATCTCTACTAAAAATACAAAAATTAGCCAGATGTGGTGGCACATGCCTGTAGTCCCAGCTACTCGGGAGTCTGAGGCAGGAGAATCGCTTGAACCTGGGAGATGGAGGCTGCAGTGAGCCGAGACCAGGCCGTTGCACTCCAGCCTGGGTGACAGAGTGAGACTTCGTCTCAAAAAAAAAAAATCTTTACTAAGCATGCCCTCATTTTGTGGCAGAAGTATCCAAACTGAATTCAGTCACCTAAATTGGAAGCATAGCAGGAAGCATTGAGAGACCACATATTTACAGAAACAAATGTACTCCTCTCCCTCTAACTTGGACACCACCACATCCTGAGCTGAAACTCTTCGTAAGCCTTGCAGGGCCCCACCTTTTCTATCGCCAGCCAAAGGGCCAAAATGAAAGACAGAGAGGCCTGCGGGTTCAGATCATTGCAGCCTTGCTGTGCAATAATATGGATGCCAGCGCTGGGGTTTATCCAACTCTTCCCAAAAGTCACAACCAAATATAGTTTCTCCTGAGATGTAGTGAATAAGCCTGGCCTAAAAGATTGTGGGGGTCAAAACCAACCTAATAGGGCAAGGCCTTACCTGGAAAGTTCTGAACCGATCTAATTTGCATCTAGACCTTCAAACTAACATTTTGTTAATATCTCGATTTCAATAGTAAACAACTAAATGAGTTCAAATGACAAGGAAACAACAGGTTTATTTTCAAACTTATGCAAACATTGGTATCTGAAACCACCTTCACACACACCCTTTGCAAGTCAATGTGAATGAATGGGTGGGCACACAGTAGTTGCACTTTAATCCATTTTCTTTTTCAATTGCCAGCACGAGGCTTGAGAGCCGCCTTGTTAACAATTCTCACAGCCCAAACCCTTCTCCAGTGCACTGTAAGCTGCTTTCGTCTTGTCCTGTTGTTTGTGGAGATGAGAAACAACCGATGTCTTTCTGTTTAATGACCCTTCAAATCAGTTGAACCTTTCTTCGCTAAGCTAAATAACCCTACAGCTTTCTGGCCTCTCCTCATAGCCTTTATTTTCCAAGCCTTAATTACATTTTTGCTCTTCTCTGGAGCTCTGCCAGTTCCCCACATCCTCCTTAAAGGGGAGACACAAAGTAGCCACAGTTGAGGTCAGACCAGTGCTGGGAAAAGCTGACAAGCCACTTCCTGCCCTTTGACTTTTATGCGTCCCACTATCTTACTGACTTTATAAATAAACAGCGCTCATTAAACTAATTCTAGCAGGGCTGTCATTCAAGCTGAAGTCCTCCTTTCCCATCTTGCATCTCAGCATTTTTATTTTGTCCCATAAATTTTTTGTGCTTACCCCTTTTGAGCTTTTCTAATTCAAAAGGTCTCACCCAATGAATTGTCTGAGCCACTTTACATGTGATTCCTCCTTTCTCTACTTTCTCACAAAAACTTTTGTAGATTTAGGAAGTGCCTTTCCAGAAGCCAAGCCAGTGATCAAAATCTACTGAGATTTCCTCTGTCTCCCCGGCACCATCCCCAAGGCAAGTACTGCTGACACTGTTGTAATAAAAACTACCGTTTATTATGCCAGGAAGTGTGGCATACATTATTTCATTAATTCCTCACAACAACCAATCTCATTATCCCTATTTTATTGAACAATTTGAGGTTAGCTAGATTAAGTAATTTGCTATAGCCACAGAGCAAGCAACTGCTGGATTCAAATATGAGCCTGTCTGCCCCTGAACTCACTGTGCTACAATGTCGCAGAATCAGTGCTCACTGGCATTTGGATGTAATCCACTAGGCAAATGTGACTCCACTTGTAAATTCTGTGCTCTCTCTTTTGGAGCTGGGACATCTTTCTCCTGCCCTTGAGTGTCAAAACTCCAGGTTCTCTGGGCTTTTGAACTCTAGGACTTGCACCAGCCACCTCCTAGGCACTTGGGTCTTCAACCTCAGACTGAGAGTTATATAGTCCAAGGCCTTCAGACTTGGACTAAGTCATGCTGTTGGCTTCCCTGGTTCTCCAGCTTGCAAATGGTCTATCATTGGACTTGTAAGGGAGCCACGTTCCCCTAATAAATCCCTTATCCTACCTCTCTCTTTCTCTTTCTCTCTCTTTCTCTTTCTCTCTCTGTCTATATATATACAAATTATATATACAATATATAACTGGTTATATATAGTATATAAAAATCTACATATTTATAACAATCTATATAAATTATATTTTAATATAATTATAGAAATTAATTTTTATGTTTATATACAATCAGTTATATATAAAATATATAATATATAAATATAGGCCAGATGTGGTGGCTCACAACTGTAATCCCAGAACTTTATGAGGCCGAGGCAGGTGGATCACGAGGTCAGGAATTCGAGACCAGCCTGGCCAACATGGTGAAACCCTGTCTCTACTAAAAATACAAAAATTAGCCGAGCATGGTGGCATGCGTCTGTGGTCCCAGCTACTCGGAAGGCTGAGGCAGGAGAAGTGCTGAACCTAGGAGATGGAGGTTGCAGTGAGTCGAGATCAGGTCACTGCACTCCAGCCTGTGCAACAGAGCAAGACTCCATCTCAAATAAATAAGTATATTTATAATATGCTTATAATACTTATAAACACTCATAAATATACTTATAGGTATATATTTATAATGTAGCATTTTGTGTCTGCTCCCTGTGGGACTCAGTGGTAACCATTCGGTTGGGAACATGAGTGATTTTTTTGCCTTGTTTCTCCTGCTGCTTTTCTCCTCCTTTTTACTTTGTTGGTAGAGCGCAGTTACGGGGCAAGACGAAACAGCTGAAGCCGTGGTGCTAAGGGAGGAGATCACCCCTCATATCGTCCTGTGCCCAATTTCTGCCTCCAACGAAAGAAGAAGTAAAAATTAAAAGGCAAAAATGAAATCCACAGGCAGACAGCCCGGCGCCACACCCTGGGCCTGGTAGTTAAAGATCGACCCCTGACCTAATAGATTATGTTATCTGTAGATTACAGATACTGTATAGTAATGCACTGTGAAAATCCCTATCTTGTTTTGTTCCGATCTAATTACGGGTGCATGCAGCCCCCAGTCCCGTACCGCCTGCTTGCTCAATCAATCACGACCCTCTCACACACACCCCCTTAGAGTTGTGAGCCCTTAAAAGGGACAGGAATTGCTCACTTTGCGGAGGGTGGTATGCTGGGCTCTTGAGACAGAAGTCTGGCCGACGCCCCCAGCCGAATAAACCCCTTCCTTCTTTAACTCGGTGTCTGAGGAGTTTTGTCTGCGGCTCGTCCTGCTACAGTGCTAGTATTGTAATAGAGACTTTGATGATGAGAAGACCCTTATACAGCACCAAAAAGCAAAGCATTTTAAATGTCCTATGTGTCACAAGAAATTGTATCCAGGACCTGGCTTAGCTATTAATTGCATGCAGGTGCATAAAGAAATAATAGATGCTGTACCAAATGCAATACCTGGGATAACAGACATAGAATTGGAAATATATGGTATGGAAAGTATTCCAGAAAAAGACATGGATGAAAGACGATGACTTCTTGAAGAGAAAACATAAAGCTAAAAAAAGAAGGAACAAGATGATTCTGATGAATATGATGATGACGACTCTGCAGCCTCAACTTCATTTCAACCACAACCTGTTCAACTTCAACAAGGTTATATTCCTGCAGTGGCACAGCCAGGACTGTCACCAGTAACGGGAGCACCAGGAATGCCTCCAGGCATAACTTCATTAATGCCAGGTGTTCCTCCTCTGATTCCAGAAATGCCACCAGTTATGCCAGGCATGCCACCTGGATTGCATCATCAAAGAAAATGCACCCAGTCATTTTTCGGTGAAAACATGATGATGCCAATGGGTGGAATATACCACCTGGACCAGGAATACCACCTCTGATGCCTGGAATGTCACCAGGTGTCCCCTCCATACCCCCAACCCCATTCCACATCCTAGAATTCCTCCAGTGACCCAAGGACAGGCTGGGTCTTAACAGACCACCTGCACCAACAGCAACTGTACCTGCACCACAGCTTCCAGTTACTAAACTGCTTTTCTCCAGTGCTGGACAAGCTCAGGCAGCTGTCCAAGGACTTGTTGGTACAGATTTCAAACCCTTAAGTAGTACCCCTGAAACAACTACAGCACCCCCAAAGCCTACATTCCCTGCTTATACACAATCTACAGATTCAACCACTGGTACAACAAATAGTACTGCAGTTAAACCAGCAGCTTCAGTAGCAAGTAAGCCTGCTACACTTACGGCAACCAATGCAACCAGTAAGTTGATCCATCCAGAAGAGGGTATCTATCTGGAAGAGAAAAGGGCACAGTTACCTAGATAGCAACGTAATCTTCCTCTGCAAGGAGAGGCCCCCATCAGTAATCCACCAGTTGGACCAATTGGAGATATGATGTGACCATAGCCAGGCATCCCACAGCAACAAGGAGTGAGACCCCCAATGCCACCTCATGGTCAGTACAGTGGTCATCATCCAGGCATGCCAAGATACCTTCCTGGTGCTATCCCCCCATATGGGCAGGGACCGCCAATGGTGCCCCCTTTCCAGGGTGGGCTTCCGAGACCTCCAAAGGGAATGAGACCTCCTGTAATCCTGCAAGGTGGCTGTTACTGATCTTACCTCATCCTGTCTAATAGGTTTGGAGAGTAAACCTTTTCCCAACTTGTGCTGTTTATATAGCCAATTTTCCATCAATAAGGCTTCATTGTGACTTTAACAAATATTATCTTCCCACATACCAGGAACTATTGGACATTGATTTTACATGGGAAAAAATATTTGGAAAAATAACACAGGAGCTTTTCCTGAAGTTGCAATTTATACTGTATGGCTTCTTTTTCATGTTTCATCTAGGTTTGTAGAAGTGAAGTATAGTAAATTTGGTTCATTAAATTGTGAAGGTGCTGGAATTACATGAACATATCACTTCAATAAAGGCAAGTTCTGTAAGCTTACATTGCTGTTTTGCAAAGTTATGCTTTCACAGCAATTCAGATGCTGTTGGACTTCATGTCCCCAGTCTAGCTTGGTGAGGGGTATAACTGTTTCCAAGTACTTGTACATTGGAAGTCTAAATGTATAACAATATTTACTGTATTTAGAGTTCCTCATGTTGCAGGGTTTAAGAAATCTGATCCACCAATGTCATGTGACTTTTCTGTACTGGTAAACTTCATTGCAATAAAATGAGAGAAAAATTTATGCCTTTTTATGCATAACCCAGCTGTGAACCACGGCCTAAAAGGTTTGTACAGATGCATGCCACAGTAGATATCCACATAATAAAATTCATAGTTACCAATGCAAAATATATATATATAAAATACAAATATGTTATATATAATAATCTATAGAGGCATTACATATAATTGAAGACATTTTATAATCATATATAGATATACACATATAATTGATTCTGTCTCTCTGGAGAACCCTCACTAAAACAGATTCTGGGTTTACCCCTAAAATCAACAACTATCATACGTTCCTAACAAACACAGGAAAAAGAAGTAAAGGGGAGAGAAGAGAGGGCAAGACAGACAGGAAAGGAATGGTTGAAAGTCATCAAAATCTGTTTTAGGTGACCCTCTCTGTAAGGCTTTCAAGAGCCCTGTTGTTCTTGATCATAGAAGTAATAATATGGGACAGAAATAAATTGTTTATGGTCTTAACGGAGTGTAGACAGAATGCATCTCTAGATTCTCCTGGACACAAAGAATTACCCGACAATGGACGAGAGTAATACGGCCAGATAAAAGATTCCCTAATGAGACATACTTGTTTAATCAGTTGCTGCAACAGTTTTTTGCTTCTGTTTTTGTTTTTTTGAGACTGAGTCTTGCTCGGTCGCCCAGGCTGGAGTGCAGTGGCACGATCTCAGCTCACTGCAACTTCCGCCTCCCCGGTTCAAACAATTCTGCTACCTCAGCCTTCTGAGTAGCTGGGATTACAAGCACCCGCCACCAAGCCCAGCTAATTATTGTATTTTTTTTTTAATAGAGATGAGGTTTCACCCTGTTGACCAGGCTAGTCTCGAACTCCTGACCTCAGGTGATCCACCCGCCTTGGCCTCCCAAAGTTCTGAGATTACAGGCGTGAGCCACCACACCCGGCTGCTTCAACTGTTGATTTACCTCCAAACTACTGGTTTGGAGGAGACAACCATTATTTATCATATAAAGTCTGTTACAGGTTTATCAAAAAATGAATGTTATGAAAATGAAATAGAAATCTGGGGGAGGAGGGAATGGAAAGTAATTTGTCCACATGTTAATGGAGCTGCGTGTGTGTAAACCCCTCTTGGTGAGAGCTGAGCACAGTACTGCAGCTAGAGGTATCGTGGGGATGGGAAGGGTAGTGAGGGGCTCTTTCATACATTATCTTTGAGTCTTTTATTACAAGATGTTTGTATACAACATGGGTCTAAAATATTTAAGAAACAGATTGTTTTTAAGATTTTATCAGCCCAAAAGCCATTTTAATGAATTTTATTGTTTAAATAGAAAAAAAAAAAAAACTTCAGTTCTGTGGGTAAAATATTAAGGAAAATACAGTAAAGTAACAAAGTAAAATTTAATAAATGTGGATTTGGGGAAGGTTGACTTGTAAAAATTGATTCTCTTAAATCAATTTTTAAAGCTCCTAAGAATAAATAGAATTCTTAGTTCTCGATCAATATCAGTTCTACAAGCTCAATATTATTAGGAAGAATGACCTAAATGCTAAACTTTTCCTCAAGGATTTGAGGAACTTTTTTTTTTTTTTTAAACAATAAAGTCCTACTTTTTCATACCGATTCTGACTAAAATGAGACCCATACTAAATCAAATAGGGATTACTTACAATTTTTTACACTAGTTTCATGAGTTTAATATCCTTGACATTGGCCAGGCACGGTGACTCACACCTGTAATCCCAGCACTTTGGGAGGCCGAGGCGGGTGGATCACAAGGTCAGGAGTTCAAGACCAGCCTGGCCAATATGGTGAAACCCCATCTCTACTAAAAATACAAAAATCATCCAGACGTGGTGGCACATGCCTGTAATTCCAGCTACTCAGGAGGCCGAGGCAGGAGAATCACTTGAACCTGGGAGGTGGAGGTTGCAGTGAGCCGAGATCACACCATTGCACTCCAGCCTGGGCGTTGCAACGAGACTCTGTTAAAAAAAAAAATTAAAAAATTATCCTTCACATTACAGATCTCAGTAACATACTTTTATAGAAAATTGACAAGTCTACCAATGCATATTTAAATGTTGACAACTAGAGAACTGCATGTGCACCCACTCTGATGTTTATCTTATGAAATAAAGACATTTGTTTAACTTTCCAAACAAAATGATTTCAAGATTTCTCAATAGGCCTTCTAAGGCTGCTTGCCTCTGTAATCTGCTTACTTGCAAAAATAAATCCATTTCAATCACTGCTTGGTCAAAGTTTAAACTTAAAAGACTCAACAACTAATCAATAGGTTGATCTGCTGATGCAGTAGAATGTGGCTAGGTCTGACCTCTGACTAGTGCAGAGGTCATCCTGCTAAAACAGTAAACAAATTGTTGATGTAACTCAGCACAGCAAATGCAACCTAGCAATAAAAACTCACCACATGGATTTAGTTATGTGCACAACTTCAGTAAATGTTTCGCTGAAATTGGTGTCAAATCAAATATGTGTGTGTTAAGCTCCTCCATTGTAGGAGATGACGACAATGATTTTTAAATAGTTTAGGTCTACAATTAAAGTATTCTCTGTTTTTCTACAACAGAATTCCTCTAACACTGCAGCATGTATTATTAGGAAGTGTAAAAAGAGTAAACATAATTTAAGAGTCCTAGCCAAAATTAATGTTTTCTAAGTTCATAGCTATCTTTATATGGGAAAATTTCATAATTATAAAAACAAATAAATTATTCTATGCAACCTGTATGGAATTACCTTAATTTAAACATAACCTAATTAGGTCACCTTCTGGTTGACCCTACTTCGGGCTTTTAATTTGTAAGAACAAATGTTTTTTAAAAAATTTCAATGTCAGCCCGGGTACAGTGGCTCACACTTGTAATCCCAAAACTTTGGGAGGTCGAGGCAGGCAGATCACTTGAGGTTAGGGGTTTGAGACCAGCCTGACCAACATGGTGAAACCTCTTACTCAAAATTACAAAAATTAGCCGGGTGTGGTGGCACATGCCTGTAAGTCACAGCTACTTGGGAGGCTGAGTCACGAGAATCGCTTGAAGCCGGGAGGCAGAGGTTACAGTGAGCCAACATCACACCACTGCGCTCCAGCCTGGGTGACAGAGCAAGACTCTGTCTCAAAATAAATAAAATAAAATAAATCAATGGTAAACATCTATTCTTGGTTTTATTCTTATAAGACCGTATTTGCCTGGATGATCTACAAGCTCACAATGTTTGGGATCTTTCACAGTAGCTTTGAAAAAAACATGTAGTCAGTTTGAGTTCACAATAAATCTTCTCCATCCGATGGTGACAAAAGGATGCCAGTAAAACACTGAACAATTTAAAATTACATGAGTTCCAACTCTCCCATTTGGGAAGTAAATGCATCCTACAACCACTGAACCAAGGTTAATGAGGCCAGGCGGGTAACATCATTAATGTCCAATGGCAAGCAACAGGGCAGAAAGACCAAATTTCCTTCCTCCTTCTACTAGAATGTGGTGAGCAGTCATGAGGGGTATTTGCACAGTATTTACGTCTCATCTTTTTCCCTTCTTTGCTCACAAGTTTCCTTTGAAATAGGTGCAAGCCTTGGCAAGTGTTCTGAGTTTCTTGAAGTTAACACCTGGGCAAGAATGCTGTCTGAGGAAGACGTCTGTCGACAATCAAAATAGACAGGCAGGATGATAGCAGTCCCAGGCTGGGTCCCAGCCTTACCACAATGACAGAGGAGGGCCAGGGTCTGGGACCCTTGGCTACAAGTAGCTAAAAGGCATTGTAGAGCTTGACTGAAGGCAAAAGCCCTAAAAGCAGACTACCTGGGTTTGAATTCCAGCTCTGATACTTCTTAGCCAGTTAGCAGTGAGCAAGTGTTTTCACAGCTATAAGCCTCAGTTTCCTTATATGAAAAAGAGTGATTTTACTATCATCCATCTCTACATGTTGTTGAAAATATTAACTAGTGCATATAAAGCACTCACAACACATATGGACAGCATGCAGTTAATGTTAGCTATTCCTCACTGTAACTCAGTATCCTATTGTCACTGTAAGTCTTTAGATGATTTTATGCTTGAATTTATTATTATTATTGATTTCCAAGCCTCGAGTCTATGCCCCTTCTGAATCATCTTGCAGATGTCTGCCTTGTTAAGCTTTCCAAAAGCTTCTTCCATCATTTCACTTCCCTGCTCAAAAATTTTCAGTGGCGCTCTACCTCCAGGAAAATGTCTGAACTCCTCAGTCTAGCTTGCAAAACTCCCTATAGTCTATCTCCAACCCACTTTTCTAACCCTTTACTCCAGCTAGTCTGATAGCCTTCTTCTTTGTATCATCCAGCTGATACATACTTCTATTTCACTTTTTATATACACAGTACTAGATATACCATAAGTGGTTGGTAACTGTTTGCTGGTGTCATTTTTGCTGTGGTAGCCTGGAGCATGGATATTTATGTCTAACTGTAGCAGAAGATCCTGAAGGTTGTGGTCTAGCCAGAGGAAAAGTTTGCACAGATGTGCTTAGAAATATATACTATGTATTAAAGCTATGTTTTAGTAATATCCTTGTTGAGGAGTTTAGAGAGAAATTCTCAGAAATTCTCAGATAAAGGGTCTAAAAATAAAGCTCTAGAGCCTTAGAGGATTTTAAAAGCCATAGTTCTATCTTTGTCTAAATATTACTATCCCTACTGTAAATCGTACCCATTCAAACTTTTCCC